AATTTAATTGTATCACAGTTCCATTAAAGAAAGTGTTTCCTAGGTTCCAAGTGTCTTTGCTGCCAACTATCCAAAATTCTTCACAAGTCTGAATTGTTGTTGCACAATTCTACCAAATAATTAATTTGCTTGATAGAAAAGAATTTCAGAGGCTGAATCTGTTTCAGCATGAGTTTAAGTCATACATGAAGTTTTGAACATTGCAATTATAGCATAAAATACTCAGTATATTATGGACAGTCATCTTAAAAGTTTTGCTATTGTATCACATTGATATTTAGAGTGTGGCCAGGCAGTTCTGCTTTTAATAGGCAGAAAATGTCAACTTACAAAATACCACCTCTTTTTCCAACTCAGCCCCACCAGTTCAGACTGATAGGGATATGTCATTCAGACAGAGATGTCCAATAATTGTTTTCTATCTTTCCATGGTCTTGCAGAAATATTCTGTCTTGTCTTTCACCACTAGTTTTCTCTTTCTTGATCTCTGCTAGGAAGATTATTTTCCAGGAATCCATCAAAAGTCACTGTTTCATTTTACTAGGCATAGAGTGAAAAAAATGTCTGCATCATTCTTCAGTCCAGCAGGATGGATGCCATTTTTAGGGCATTTGCGAAAGATTTGGAGGGGTTTATCAAAAGGAAACCTAACTTTGCTTCTGAAAAAAAATGTCTTTACAAAATCCTTTACTATTTTGATTCCAAAAGTGCTAAAATAGGTGCTGTAGCAAACAAGAACAAAGGATTACTGTGTTGTGGACCTTACCATGTGTTAGGTTCAATCAGTACTTTTATTTGGAAATATTAGGCTAATGAACATGAGAGAGAATGTGTATGGAAAAAAAATGCTGTAAAGAGGAGCATATCAGGCCACCTTTTAATTTGTTTCCTCTATAAAAAGACTTTCAGGAGAACCTAAAACAATTGCAGGCTTCTCCTCCTCCTGTACAGCTCAAGCTGGAAATTGTAATTCCTATCCAGAAGAAAAGAGGAACCATTTACTGTTCAAAGATTTAAGTAATGTACAGACAGTTAGGGCATGTAGAATAAAAGAAAAAAATGAAAAAATGGTAATTCTGAGGCTGAGGATATGCAAGTAGCGGGGAGCAGCGGGGGCCGTGGCAGTGGTGCGGGGAGTGGTGGCGGCGGGCAAGTGTGTGGGAGAGAAAGTAGGGAAACGGTGCTGCAGGCGGGTACAGAGCCCCTGCATTTGCTCTGGGACCAACAGGGACTCAGGTTGGGGTGGCAAGAGCTCGAAGCCTGAGCATGGGTGTCTGCCTGACTGCATCGCGTGAGGCTCCCGTGCAGTCCATAAGAGGCTCATGCAATGGAGCCAGCAGCCCAGCCCCATCTCTCTCATCCCACCCACCATACCCACACCCCAGCATACCCATACTCCCCCCACTCCCCGCCACATACACCCCCTTACCACCCACACACAATATACAGTAGAATAAACCTCTAGGCTGTTCCTGAGCCTCAGCTGATGTTTCTCACAGCTGCCAGCAGCAAGCTGCTGCTTCACCCTATATATATCCTGGACCACAAAATGGTCACTGTACTCAAGCACCTGGTTGCTGCATGCTCCATCCCTTAAAGTGTCAGGCACCAACAGTGCCCTGCCACAGATGGTAAGGGTGGGAAAGGGACAGAGGGGTGGGCAGAAACTTCAGGGGGCAAGGAGAGTGGGATAGGAAACTGTGGTGGGTCTGACTCTGCCCCTGACCCAGACTCAGGGCCAGAGTCAGAACTGCAGCAGTTGTCTGCTCTTCTCCCCTTCTCCTTTGTTAAGTTGAAATGCAAAGGACCAAAAAATTTTGGAGTGAATATGAAGTATGTGCAAATTAGTATGGGTAAGTACATCCAGAATTGATGCATTTTAACTTCCTACAAACTGCTGCAGCTTTCAGCACAACTACTCCATAAACACACTTTTGAGCAGCAGTTTTGTACTTTCTTATATAGAGGGACCACTGTAATTTGGGTTTCAGGGTATTTTAGGGGAAAGCCCAAAATTTAGCATTTTCCCCAAAGCCCTGGAAACTGCTATTTAGCTGGAAATAGCCTGAAACAGTAGGGAGGAGAGAGGGTGAGGATAAAAGTTTTAAAAAAAGAAAAAAAAAAACCTTACCTGGAGCATGGAGAAGAAAAGCAGCAGAGCCCTAGGAACACGGTGGAAGCCCCATGCATTTCCAAGGGTAGCCTAGTACAAGCTGAACCCCTGCCAGGGCTCAGCCAATCAGGTTGTTCAATTCCTTGCTTTGCCGGGGAGTTTAAAAGTCCGGTCCAGAGTGGAACAGGTAAGTACCCCCTGCCTGAGGTTTGCAGGCATAGGCATAATAAGTGGTGAGTTTTACTTTCTTAAAACAGCTGAAGAACAACTGTGTGCTGCTGTTCAATGGCAGTCAGCCCCATAGTGGACTCCCTCTGCTAGTCAAAGGCATAGAAGAGCCCACCCTGAAAAACACCTGGCTGTATTCAGTCAACTCAATAGCTGGTTTCCATGACTGACCACTTGCTGCTTCCAGCAGCAATTTAATGATAGACCATGTATTTAATTTGCAGGGGGAGGGCGGGGCAATACTGGTATGCAAATATAAGACGGGTTTTTTCCCTCCATGCTGATAGGGGGAGAAAACCTCATCTTATGTTTTGGAAATGTGGTATTATGATTTAAAAAACAGAACTCTAGACTGAACTTTTCAGCACATCAGACATAAAAAGGAGAGGCTGAGACTTAGACCAGGCTACTGGAACCCAGGGTTCATGGGAAAGGTTTTTAATTAAGTTTGACACTAAAATTGGTTCAACCAGATCACTGTTCATCTGTTTTTAATGCTGAGAGACCTGTTCCCTCCATTAAACATTTTACTGAACCATTCTCTCTCTGTCTTCATGGATCATGAAAATGCTAAAACTGTTTCTAATTCATATAATGTATTTAAGATTATTCTTACTGGGTCTCAATTTTTAAAAGCTGGGCATGTCAGGAATATGGCTGTGCTGTTGTCTGTTGAAAGGTAGGACTGAGTTTTTACAAAGACAGTAGCAACATTCTGGTGCATTGTTTGTGATGTTTCTTTTACTCCAAAGAGAAGAGTTTTGTCATTGTACTTGTGACACTAATACTAGCTTATTTACTGGCACTTTAGATTTTGGAATTGTAGATACACTCACATGCACTTACTTAAAATTCTATTGATGTAAGATTGTTTTAATTAATTATTACAGTTTTTGTATTTTAGGAGTGTATGTCAATGTACCTGTCACGTGTTGGATTTTGGTTTAAAAGGGAATTGAGAATTGGCTAAATTGAGTTAATATGTATACATTAAACCAATGTTCCCCAAAAGTGTGCAGCAGAAGTCTGCCTGATGTTTGTGAATGACTAGTTTGGGGGCAATGATGGCTAATGTGTACAGCAGGTTTGCAGGAAGGCCATGCAAGAGTTTCCATTTCCATGAATATGCAAGGATGAACATGGGTTTAGGTTGTAGCCGTGTTGGTCTAAGGACTTAGGCAGACAAGGTTCCTTGGGTGAATTTGATATCTTTTATTAGACCAACCCAAATAGTTGGAGAATATTTATTAAGCAAGCTTTTGGGTTCAAAAACCCTTCGTCAGGCTAAGGAGGTTTCAGCAGTTGGTGTGTGCTCTTCCTGGATGGAATGAAAAGTAAAGAAGCCAGGGGCTGGGCTGGGGAGTCAGTTGCCAGGCAGATTATAATGTATCAAAAATCCAATGTCTATGTTTAGTCCATGATCTCTAGTATCCAGGAGGCTGATGAAATGGAGCTCATAGGCTCGTCTCTGGAAAGTGTTGTGTAAGTTTCCCTTGAGGATCAGGACTGAGAGATTGGAGAGAGTGGCCAGTATCCAGAAGGGTAAAATACAGACCACAGTATACAAGAAACCCACAGACCAACTTACATATCTGCACAAAACCAGCAATCACCCGAAACACACCAAAAAAGCTGTGATAGACAGCCAAGCCCTCAGATACCACTGCATTTGTACTGAAGAGAACACCCGGGATTCCCACCTCACCAATCTTAAAAAGGCTTTCACCCAGCAAGGACACTCGTCCAGAGAGGTAGATCGACATTTGAAAGAGCCACCTGGATACCACGTGACGAACTGCTGCAGTACAGAAGAAAACCCCCCACAAATCGCACACCGCTGGTTATGACCTATCACCCATCCCTTGAACCTGTACGGAAAATCCTCACAAAATCGCAACCCATACTGCCAGGACAAGAAATGCAAAACCTGCCAACACATCTCTACCACCCCCACTACTACTACACCCCACAACAGAGCCGTCAGCATCCCAGGATCTTACAGCTGCACCTCCAGGAATGTAGTATACCTCATCCAATGCACCAAATGCCCTGATGGAAGATATGTAGGAGAGACCAGACAACAACTGCGCGCCAGAATGAACGCACACCGGAAATCCATCAAAGACAGAAACACCCAATTACCAGTGGGGGCACATTTGTCACAGGAGGGCCACTCTCTCTCCAATCTCTCAGTCCTGATCCTCAAGGGAAACACACAACGCTTCCCAGAGACGAGCCTATGAGCTCCATTTCATCAGCCTCCTGGATACTAGAGATCATGGACTAAACATAGACATTGGATTTTTGATACATTATAATCTGCCTGGCAACTGACTCTCCAGCCCAGCCCCTGGCTCCTTTACTTTTCATTCCATCCAGGAAGAGCACACACCAACTGCTGAAACCTCCTTAGCCTGACGAAGGGTTTTTGAACCTGAAAGCTTGCTTAATAAATGTTCTCCAACTATTTGGGTTGGTCTAATAAAAGAAATCAAATTCACCCAAGGAACCTTGTCTGCCCAAGGATGAACCTAGCTTTCAGATGTTTGGGGCAAATACAGTGATGACATGAGCACACTCTCTGCGCCATGATAAGATGCTGCTTATTTAATGTAAATCAGTTTTATTTTCTATAATAATGTGATCTCTTTATTTCTAGGAAATGTGACTACTAGCACTTCTGTGTCTCAGATGGCAAGTGGGATCAGTCTAGTCTCCTTCAACAGTCGTCCTGATGGTATGCATCAGCGCTCCTACTCAGTCTCCAGTGCAGACCAATGGAGTGAGGCAACGGTCATTGCAAACTCTGGCATCAGCAGTGGTAAGACAGCATCTTTCTTTCTGTCTCTCTCCTTTCATTCTTGTGTGAAGACTTATGTCACCTATCTAGATATGGTGCCATGAGTAAAGTTACTGCTCTTCAGTGAGAGCAGAGAGGAGATGACAAAGTAAATTGACAAAGCCTCCTTTTCAGCCACAAAGGTCAAATGATATATTTTTTGCCATATCTAATTTTCAGACAGATAATGTAGAAAACTAATATTTTTTAAAAATATTACTATTTATAGTAGAAGAAATTTTAAGAGTGAATTATCAGGCATCTTCACTGATACTACTAAAGTAATACTGCAACAAAGGAATGTCTCTGTTGCTGACATAAGTTTTCTTGTAGACTGTTACAGTATTTAAAGGAACAACGAGTATTGCTTATAATCAGTTATCAACTAGAGGTTATAAAATTTTTAACAGTAAAAATTAGTTTTTAAAAAAAGAAAATATAAATATTCTGACACTGAACTTACAGATGTAAGATACAAAACTGTGGTGATAGGATAGAAACAGAAGTCATTTTTTTCAGAAATCAAGGGACCAACTTAAGGTAGAAATAGACATTGCAACGTGAAGCTGATCAGCTGTGCTGGTATGCATCCTGGCACAGCTCATCCTCTTCTTCTGGAGAAATTAATGTTGCCCATTGTCCAGCCCGTTGATGCTGCAGGGCAATAGGCTGTGTCTTCTCCCAGTCCTGGTCGTCTCCTGGTCCTGCGCACCCTAGAAATTCCTGCACAAGATCCTGCCCCTCAAGCCTTGCGAGTGGCCCACCTGGGTTTCCCCATTTACCAGATATGTCCTTGGGATCTCTGAGGATATGTTTGGATAAGTGGGGAAATCCCATCCTTCCCTACTTACCAAGGAGCACTCTGCATATCCCAAGGATATATCTCTAAGTGGGGAAAATTGGGGAGGTGCTTCCAGGACTTGAGAGCTCCCAGGACTTGTGCCCAGGAATTCTTGAGGTGTACTCAAGTCCCCTGGGCTGTGCTCAGCTCCTCAAGTCCCCAGATCACCTGCATGGGGTAGCTGGAGAGTACAGGCAGCACTGGGTTGCCTGTGCTCTCATACCATAAAATAGACATCTACCACTATATAACATCATCAATTGATACCACCTCTGTTGTGACCACTGTTTGTGGCATAACAAGGAGTATGGACATGTTTGCTTCGCTTTTGTACCTCCATAAAAATTTCCACCTTTAGTGCTCTTGAATTCCTTGTACCATTACTCTTTCCATCTGACATTGAAAGACTTAGGTTTTGTAGAAATAGCATATGCAACTTCAGGTGGAAGGAAATGCCTTATATTGGACAACTAACCTCATCCTGAAGTTTCACATGGGCTTAAAATTGTTCAACGCAGAGCAAACCAGGATTGTCATCAAAATGTATTGTTTCCAAGACATCTTGACTACATCTGCAAATGGAAGTACGTGGTCTTGTCTTTGTTTCCTAGGTTTGCTCTCTGAAGAATGGAACTATTTGTTTCTATAGTTTAATGTTTACTGCTGTAATAATCTTAATAGTCTGCAAACATTTTCTATTTAAAAAAAAGTATCCTGATACCGCTTCTAGAGAGGGTCTTCAAAATGCAGACTGACTGTAAATGAGAGAGAGATCTATTGAGCAAAATCAGAGGATATATTTGTGAGTCTCATACAGCCAGCTTTGCAGATGGTAAATCTATTCGCATTGATATCTTGATTTCTGAGAAGACCTCACATTAATTTGAATGCTACCTCTTGCTAGCTGTCACTAGTTCTCTATCTCTGTACTGCAAACTATAGATCTGGCTTCTAGCTTCAAGAAAGAACACCTGCATATCATGAAAGATGGGCATGATCCAATTAATTAAATGTTGAGACACAGATTCTTATATTCCCATTTTAGCTTGGACATGTAATTTGTCCAAGACCTTGACCAACTCACTATCTGCCTTAGATCTTCACATGTGTAAAATGGGCCTATAGCAGGTCAGATGGAGAAATGTGAGTTGTTCATAAAGTACTCTTGTGACAAAATCATAGTGTCAGGGTGTTCCCTGAGATGCGTCTTGGATTTGTGTAAGCCTGTTGGTACCTCATTTTGCTGAATGGATATGCCCAGGTTTTTAATTTGCTTAGAAATAATTTGCTTAGAAGGCACTTCAGTAAAGTAACTGACAAACAAAAGGGTTTTTTTTTGCATGGAAGAACAAATGCTATAAAAAGAAAAAGTGATCAAATACTCTTCTGTCAAAGTATGGTAAAACAACATTGACAAAATTCTTCTTACATTTTATTCGCACTATCACCAAGCGCTCATAAAAAATTCCTGTGCAAATCTCCCGGGGTCAACCTCCTCTCAGTTGCATGTGGCTCCCTCAGCCAGGGACCTTCATTCCCCTTTGCCTCACCAGGGTCTAATGGTCACTGCCTTCAGGACATTCCAGACAGCCTCCCTTCCACCTACCTTCAAGAGAGCCATGTCATGTCATAGATGTAAATGCATTCCTCAGAACATGGTGTCAAGAAGTAGATTTTGAATTATTCAACAGTAGGTTGCGAACAGCAGTTGAGAGATGGCACCCACCTGATGAAAATTGGAGAGCATGTTGTTGGGCATCATTTGATTAACTGGTGAGGTGGGCTTTAAATTAGCTCCCATAAGAAAAGGCAAAGAAAACTTACTAACCATGGTGCAGTAAGCCAAGGAATGAGAACCCAGAAAGATGTTTGCTTCTGAAGGAGACTTGAGGAACTAAAATTTGGTAGAGAGAGATGCAAGAGGAAATGGCAGTGCAATATGAAAAAAATCTTCAGAGCTTGCTTGTGGGAAAATAAGCAGGATGAACTTGGAAGTCTTAGTTTGTAATAAAAATTATGACTTGGCATTACATAAACTTTGTGGGATAATTCCTGCAATTGGAATATCAGCGTTGAGAGAGATACCTTGATTTAGAAAGGGAAGGTGAGAGTGAGGGTGGGGGAAGGTGGTGGTATCCAGCTATATCTCAAAAAACTATATGCCTCCTCTGAGGTCCAGGAGGGAGAAAGTGAACTTTTTAGTATAGCTGTATTAATATAAAGAAAGAAAAGAACAGTTGTGACATTTTGGTGCAGTCATTCTATAGACTACGAAACCCAGAAGATTGCTGAAGCATTTTTCAAGTAGGTAACAAACATAACTAAAATTTGTGAATGAACTAATGAGGGATTTTAACTTCCTTGATATGTTTGAAGAATATCACAGCAAAATATAATATGCAGCAGCTTCTTAGTATGTTTAGAGGACAAATTTTTGTTTCAGAAGTTTCAGGATACAGCTGTGTGGTCATCTCTCTTGGGTTTGGTCTAAGCAAAAAGGAAGAATTGGTGGTAGCATGCAAGTGATCAGAATTTGGGGAATAATGAAATGATGATGAAATGATAGAATTGATAATCCAAAGAAAAGGAAGGCATCAGAACAGCAAAACAAGGGCACTGGACTTCAGAAGGGCAACATTTATCCAGTTCAGGGAAAG